AACCCTAGTTAAACAAAAAAAAGTAAAATGATCTAGGCATGTAAACATAGAAAAAGGTTTTTACCACCGCATTTCAATACCATTTAAATAAATTCCCATTTAATGTGAAAACTGACATGAAAACTGACGTTTTTCAATGCAAAGATTACATCTTTTTGAGGAGACGTTATCGGGTTGATATTTTTCAATCATACTTTCCCTGATTGTCGGTATCTTACCTACTTCCATAAATTTCGAAATTCTCTTAGAAAGTTCATTGTCATTTTTATACCTGATTAAGTTAAAAGGTTTTATGCGGTTTGTAAACCTGATTTCAAAGGAGTTTTCACTTATATTAATATAAGATTTCTTAGCGTGGTTGACGTGTAGGTGGTGTTAGAATAGTTTTACAAATAATATTTTTAGTAATCACTTTATCGGTATTTTTATTGCGTAAAAAATGTGTTGGTTGTGTGACTTGATAATAGTACTGATATTTGGCATACAGCTGAAACTTATTTTGACAGTGTTTCTATTAAAAATCTTGTAGGGCTTGAGGTGTGATAGAAAATGTAAATCAATTAAATTCAAGAAATTGTTTCTTGTTTTGGAGACAACGTTGCTACTGATTAAATTATACGATGTTTTGTTTGCGTCAGCTAGTATCACAATTAGTTTTGATTTAATTTAGATTGAGACAATATTGGATATTTCTGCTATGTCCATACTTCATTAGGGCTTCTTTGGAAATAGGAGCAGAGTTTCCAAATATTATTTTGCAGAAAGAATTTGATGGTAATCTTTTTTTCAATAGAGGTCGGTAGCTGTTTTAAAATACTAAAATACAAACACTCAGGTTTATGGTAAGGTTTGAAGCTGCAGTTGCTAAGGTTTAATGTAATATTGAGATTGACTATTTTTTGTTGCATTGTTTATAAATATTAAGGCTGTTACTTTTAAATATCAGAGTTATATGTTTTTTAAATTTTTCTATTTGTGAACCGCTAGTATTTTTAATCACAGCTAACCAATCATCTATATACAGCCTAAAATCAAACTTATTATAAAATGAGAAATTTGGAAAAGAAGAAAAAATCTAACTAACTCACATACCTTGGCACCACCAAACGCTCTCATGGTGACATCAAATAAATCGCCTGACTTTTTTATCCTAACTTCGTTATCGTAAAATTATACCGATTATTAGTGGGTGATGAATCAAAGATTTGTTCTCGGTAACGGCAGTAATACTCTGTTCAGAAAAACAAATAGCATTTTGTTTATAGAACCATTGGGTCAGCACTGGCCCGAAAACTTTTTCGTGGTCGCGTGTCATCACTAAAGCGTTACTTTTTACTAATACATTAGGACGTTATTATTTGCTGTTTCTGTGCAAAAGTATTATCCCGCATGAATCAAATAAATAAGTACTTTTCGACATTTATTCCAACTTATATCGAAATAAATAAATAAGTATTCCCAACCAAAAGTAAGTTAAAAAATAATGAAATAAAAAAATATTATTAAAAGTTCAAACTGCTATTTATGCAAATAACTTTATATACAAAGAACGTTCCTCTGGAGCTTTTCGTCCGCTACTTCGATCCCCGAAAAGCAGAAAAAATCTCTTCAGTTTAAACTCTTCTCCTGATTCTCCTGAGGTTAAAGCTTTTATTTTCACAGCATCTAAATAACACAAAGTTAAACTATGTGTGAAAAATAGTAAACGATTAAACTAAAATTTATGATTAAAATGTACATTATACTCACATATATAAACTTTAGGATAATTAAAAAAAACATCTTTTTTAAAAAATTTTGCATCTCATCCATATTGTATCTAATAAAATAACACTAGATATAAAATTCAAAACAATATTGAAACATAAGACAAGTTCATATTATTATCGAAAAATTATATATATATAAATAACTCCAAGAGTAAATTGCGAGATTACTATTAACCAATCCAATGAAGTGTTTTTTTGCTCAATTCGCAAGAAACCATCTCACAGACAAACATCCTTTGGATGTCACTTAAGACCCCAAAAACTAAAATATTAACTATAATGAAACAGTTAAATTAAGTTTACTAATGCTTGCTATGTGTTTCAATTTTAGCATTAGATACAACTGATGATGCAATACTAATCAAGCAACTGATCAGGAAGTAACTAAGTTAATATCATCTCAATAGGCATCAGCAAAATATTTTCATTTTTCTTTAATCAAAGCACATTTTTTAGAATTAAAGCGCTAAAAATAAATTAAGAAAAATTCACCTTATAAAGCACTCTTTATAATAAATTTTTCATAAAAAAAAAAAAAAAACTTTCTAGTCAATGCAATACAATACCATAGAAGTGGATGGGTTTCCGCCCCATCAGTTGTCTAACTCATTGCTTTCAAAAAAAATACGTCCGTCAAATTAACTTGATAAATCTTGATGCATATTTGTGTCCTATTTAGGATGCATATTCGTGTCCTACATAAACTAACTTAAAGATTGTTTTAGAACATATTGTAGCTCAGTTACAAAAAAAAAAAGAATATTTAAATGAAAAAAATATAAAAATACATCCTTTTCTAAAACTTCAAAAGCAGAGCCTTGTTTTAAAATGTTATTTAATTTTAAATGATCTGAAGAAGTTTATGATCTTTCAATGTGATGAAACAGTTTGAAGATCCGCTATATGGATTTTGTTGGAAACATAATTTTTTAACCAATTTTTTCCTTCCTTATTAGTCTAATTTTTTAATCTTGGATTTTTGTAAATAGATGTAATAGGGCTTTTCATCAATTTATTAGGACGGGTGAATAAAAAAAGCAACTGCTTTTTCTTAGTAATTGGTTAGCTTTACGTGAATAAAAACTTTAACATTTTTTGTAAAGTTTTTATTCATGTAAAGCTGAGCTATTACCGAGTAAATAGGTTGATTTTACACGAATAAAAATGTATAGTAAACTTCGTAAGTTTTTATTCACGTAAAGCTTACCAATTACTAAGTGAAAGCAATTGCTTATTTTTATTCACCCGGCCTATTATATTCATCTTTAAGTAGTTTGTATCATTAACATTATCATTATTTTTGTTCATACCATTGAGATGTTTGTTCATGTAGAAAAAATCTTTCCATTTTATTCTTTGGATCGATTTTTCATTTTTTTCTAATTATCGCAGTTTGTATTCTTTATCAGGTGATATAGGTATGTTATATTTAAATAATTAAAAGTAATTTCCTTCATTTATAAACAACTTAAGAAGAGTGTTCAACAGGAGGAGCAAATATATTTATAGAGTTGTGTTGTATTCTGTCATTTATAATACAACTCTTTGTCGGTTTAAGATTGATTATTTATAAAATAGATCAAAATATATATAAATATTTAACTGAAACGACTTTTTTTATGGTACTTTAAGTTTCATGCCATTCGGCATTTATATAGCCTTATTATTCAAAATCATTAAAATAAAAATCTTTATAAAAATAAAAATTTGCGATGCAACAAGATTGAACGTCAGTTTTCAGGTTGTACAGGAATTTATTTAACAATTATCGAAATGCGATTGTAAAAACCTTTTTCTATAGGCCGGGTGAATAAAAAAAAGCAATCGTTTTTAGTAAAAGTAAAACCAAATAAAAAGCAAATGCTCATAGCAAAAGCAGTTGCTACAAAATACGTGAATAAAGTTTTACTTTTACTCATAAGCAATTGCTTCCGCTTAGAAGTAAATGCTTTATGCGGCTACCAATAGTTTTTGATTGTTGTGGTTTTTTCGTTTAAAAATGGCTGCTTTTAGTGTAAATCAGACTGATAATAGTAAATACTAAAATGAAAATAATTATAACAAATGCAAAGATAAAATATATACGTTATTGCATATATGTTTATTATATATATTTATATATAAAAGACTACAACGCAACTCTATAAATATATATATATATATATATATATATATATATATATATATATATATATATATATATATATATATATATATATATATATATATATATATATATATATATATATATATATAAAGTAAAGGACAACTTTTACCAATTTGTCTTTTTTTGTCAAGACTTCTAAACCGTTTATAGGTTTATAAGCCTATACAGACTCAGGGGCGGATCCAGCTTTTTTTGGTGTTTGAGATAAGTAACTTCCAAACATGGAGGAAACTCCAAACATATATATGTTTATACTTATATCAAATAAGGATGGTTTGCAAAAAATTGCGATAATTGGAGACTGGGAACAAAAAAGCCCTAAAATTTGAGACGTACCCGCCCCAAACGTGAGAGCAACAAGTTGATAAAATATTTTTTGTACTATTCTCAACAAGACTTATATTTATCCATAGATTTTAAATTTCATTGTAAAATATTTCAGCGTTCAAAAATTATGACCATGTAAAGTTTGAATCCCCCTCAATTCGAGAGGGTTACGATTTTTATATCTCAAACACCAAAAAATGCTGGATCCACCCCTGTAATAAGTCTGACTTATTACAATTTATAAGTAAACCTTTAAGTTTTATATTGTTGTAGAAAGCCTTTAGGTTTTTTATTGCTGTAGAAAACAATTGAAAATGAGAATGAAGTTGTAATCGTTCTTTCGAACGATTACAACTTCATTCTCATTCTCATTTTTAAGATTTTGTTAAAATCTTAAAAAAATGTTTAAAGTTTAATAACATTTTAAAAATTTTAAAAGGTAAAACATCAAACTGAATTAAAAATGTATATTAAATATTTGTAAATAAGTATGATCAACCTTATAATAAAATATTATGTCCCATTATTTGGCGTGACAATTGTTGTTTTTACTTTTTTTTTTTTTTAAGTGCAATAGTAATTACAATTACAAAATGGTTTAGAAAAATATTTTCCGACAATCACGCATTTCAATAAACAAAACCATTATTTTTATATAATAGGTTTTGTCAAACCAATAATATTTACGAAGATATTTTTAGTAACAATCAGCGGTTATTATAACGATTTTACAAACGATCAGCGGTTATTGTAACGATTATATAAAGCCAACCTTAATTATACAGCATCTTATAATTATTATATATTTGTTAAAAGCATAAGAGGAAACGTTTAAACACCAGCAGTAAAACTTTTGTTTATAACAGTTAAAAAGTTCAAACAAAGGTGAGAAAGTAACTTTTTTAACAAAATGTATATCATGTCAAGTTCTTCATTATAAAATAAAAATATGTCTTAATATTTATGCAAAAAATAAAATGATAAATTATAAATTTTTTTTTGATAATAAATAAAGTAATTAAAAAATATTTAAGAAAAAAAAGTTTTTTAGAAAGAATTTTTAAAAACTTTTGTTCTTTTACTAAAATAGTAAATAGCAACAATTGCTTCATAATTTACTAAAATAGTAAATAGCAACAATTGCTTCATAATTTACTAAAATAGTAAATAGCAACAATTGCTTCATAATTTACTAAAATAGTAAATAGCAACAATTGCTTCATAATTTACTAAAATAGTAAATAGCAACAATTGCTTCATAATTGAATATACTATGTATAAATAATAAACGCATTAATCTACTTTGTAATTTAAAATTAATAATAAAATATTAAATGTTGTAATTTAGAACTCAATAAAAACCATTTTATAAATGGATATACTGATGGAACATGGTAGAGTTAATTGCTTGGCTGTTGATAACAGTGAAACAAGTGAAACAGCGTTCAACTGGTATATAAAGAACTACCATAAAAAAAATGATACTTTAATAATACTGCATATACACGAGATTCCGCAGCTGCCTTTGATGGGCATTTTGTCTGGGATTTACCCAAATACTCTAGAGCATCGTGCACTCGTTGAAAAAAGTATTGAAGATGCCAAAGCTGTAGTTGAGAAATTTAAAAACCTTTGCATTGAAAAAGAGGTAAACTTTAATGAGATCATCTTGGATGATAACTTTAAATCTCCGGGATATATGATTTGTGAGTTAGCTAAGAAAAAGGCTGCCTCTGTTATTGTCATGGGACAAAGAGGCTTAGGAGCGTTATCAAGATTATTTTTGGGAAGCACTAGTGATTATGTGTTGCATCATTCTGATGTTCCAGTAATTATCATTCCTCCTACCACTATAATTAAATAACTATTTCAGAATCTTAAAACTTGATATTTTAATTTTTATTTTATTTTATTTTTTTATATGATTTGGATAAATTTAATTTTATAGAACTTATAAATTTAGAAAATACTTTTTATGGTATGTTTCTATTCTTAGCTATATTCAGCTAACTTGTATTCTTTATACATAACAATGTATTTTGGGAATTAGTTTGTTTATTATTTATTTAAAAAAAAAAACTTTTTTTACTTAGTGTATTTTTGATTATAAAACAAATACATTTTTTAAGATGGCTTGAAAAGACTGAATACTTGAAATGGATGAGCGCGCAACTATTCACGGTGCATTGGAACATGCTTTATGACCCAGCAACGCCCCAAGGAACACTTTTTTTGTTTATTGTTAAAAACATTTCCTCATTCTAATGTAAATAAAACTTTTTTTCACCGTGTGTTTTGGGAGAAATTACGTGTTTTAGGCGTGTGCGTAGAAATTTTGTTGTTACAGGTAAGTAACTAAAGGCATGAGGCGTACTCAAACTTCTAGTATGTTGATACTGGTGTTAAATGAGGATGACTTTTAAAAAGAATAATTTTATTAGTAATTAGAGCTAGTGCAACCCCGTCTCTAACCCTAACGTCTCCGTTACTAGAACTATGCTTCTCAAGATCATAAATTTTTTTTTAAAGTTTTATTATAAATTAGATTAAAATTCATCTACAGATTTGTACATTTTATATTCTGTAGGCTTAGATCACAAGGCTAAGCCTACAGAATTTAAAATGTACAAAAAGAAACCCAACTATATTTAATCCATATTCGTTATAATTTATGTAAGTTTTACAATTCACCTGTTGTAATAAAAGCTAAGTATTTAATTACTATAGTTATAACTATATTTTAAATAAAATATAAAAGTTATTATACTAAAGAATAATACCACCTTTAATGTCAATAAACTTAATATATATTTGCAAAACTAAGCGCAGGTGCGGATGCAGCATTTTTTGATTTTTGAGATTCCTTACTTCCAGACATGGAACAAACTCCTAAAATTTCTATGTTTATATTTATATCAAATAAGGATGCTTTGCAAAAAATTACAATAATTGGAGCATGGGAACAAGAAAGCCTAAAATCTTAGCTACATTTGCCCAAAACGTGAGATCAACAAGTTGATAAAATACTTTTTCACTATTCTCAACCTAGTTTATATTCATAAATAAATTTTAAAACTCACACAACAACCTCTTAGCGTTCAACAATTATGGCCTTATAAAGTTTGCAACCCCCTCAAATTGAGGGGGGTTCAAACTTTTTGAGGTCATAAGTTTTTAAAACTAAAATATTTTTGTGTGAATTTTAAAATTCATTGATGAATATAGATTTAGTTGAGAGGAGTATAAAAATTATTTTATCAACTGTTGCTCTCACGTTGGGGGCAGGTGTAGCTATAATTTTAGGGTTTTTTTGTTTCCCGGATCCAATCATTGCAATTTTTTGCAAAACATTCTTATTTGATATGAGTATAAACATAGAAATTATTGGAGTTTGCTCCATGTCTGGAAGTAAGGTATCTCAGACATCAAAAAATGCTGCATCCGCGCCTGAAGCATACCTTTTAAAGTAGTTGTAGCCTATAGATTTCTAAGGCTCATAAAAATCTACTCTATATCTTTGACTTCAGTAGAGCCTAATGATTTATCAAAATAGCATGGACTATCTTTTTAAAATCTCTAAGAACCTTAACTATTTTGGCAGCGGAATTTCCGAGACTAATCTCCTGAAAAAAAAGCTCAAATTTTTCTATGTTTTTATGCAACTTATTTCAAGATTGCTTTACTCTTCCGATGCTTATCCTAAATAAATATTGTTTAAAAAGCTTTTTTTTCAAACAATTTTTTTGTAACACCTAAAACTTTATGTAATCAGGATTATTTACAAGAACTTTTTTTTTTGCTTTCTGTTAATATAAGGGGTTGAACTACATTTGTGGACTTTATTGCGTTTTTTTTGTTTGTTCTATCAGACATCCGTTGGTCCCAAAGTTTTTTGAGAACAGTGAACAGCTTTTTGAAAGTTATTGGATTATGTCATGCAAAACAGACAACGGGTGATGTTAATTTTATTTTGTATTTTATTTTCCAATCATTCGAATCATTTCCAATCATTCGAATCAAAACCTTTAGATCTTTAGATAATAGGTGATCAAAGAAAGAAATGTTCAATTTAACCAAAATTATCCTCAGATTATGGTATTTTTTGTTTAATGAAAGCAAAGCGGCCAGTAAAACTTTTTTTTGGACACTTGAATCATTGAATTCTTTAAACGCATACCCATCACACTTACTCGTTTTATTTTGGCAATTATTTAATACTTTTTAAATTGGGTTATAGGATAATTAATAGATTTACTTTAAGGAATTCCTGCCATCCATCTGCACCTGCTTTCATATCGACATCTAGTTTTTGTAATGAAGTACCATTGCTATAAGCTCTTCAATGTTATTGCAATACACCTTCAATGTTATTGCAATACACCTAGAGGCGATTCTGCGAATAAAATGAGGGTGCCGAATCCTTAAAAGGTTTAATCCGACTAGTTCCAAAACTAAAATTCACCCGAATGAAATGCATCAAATCCCCAACTAGCTGACTATGTTCCTCAAAAAACCAACTTTAACTTGAAAATTGCCTTTTTTGTGGGGTGTCCCACCGGTGGACACCACCGTAAATTCTCCTCTGAACACACCATAGGAATCTTTTTCTACCATCTACATTTGTACAGAAAGTTTAAACATTTTTTTAGTATACTATTGAAAGTTTAGAACTGTACAAGTTGAAAACCCAACGCAGCCCAGCTGCCAAAAACACATCTTTTAGACTTTTTTTTTTTTTTTGCATATAATATGTTAACACCTTTTAGATTTCTAAGGGGTTGTCCATTAATTACGTCAAAAAATAGAGGGAGGGGGGTCTGAACATTTTTGACAGTTGTTGACAAGGGGGAGGGGGGAGGTCAACCAAAGTTGATGTCAACAATTTTTTTTTTTTTTTTTTGAGTTTCATTGCTTAAATAACGGAAAATTTGTAGCGTAGCTTTTTTGTTTAGGGAAGAGGGTGGGTGTAATCAAAAATTGACGTAGTTTTACAAGGGGGGTCTCTGGAAATTTGACAAACCGTTGACAAGGGGGAGGGGGTTGAAAAAATTTTCAAAAATATTGTTGACGTAATTAATGTACAGCTCCTAAATTCAAATAAATATAAGACATCGAATAGTAGCCATCTTTTAAACGGCTTGAGACAACTATAATTCGTCGTCTCAAAGTTAAATACAGTTAGATGTCTTGTATGTATCTGAATTTAGACGTCTAAAATGGGTTAAAATTTTAGATTCTAAAAAGACGTGTTTGCGCTGGCTGAGAGGGTCCTCTTTTTTTTTTATCTTATTATTAATTTAAAAAAAAATAGTACAATTTAATAAGAAAAACAATTAAGTTAATTAGAGTGATTACAATGCAACGTTTTTAGTTATATCACCAAAAAATTTCCACTAACTCGAATACCGGTTAATTTGAATTTTTTTTATCTGGAACTGCTACCTATAGTCCTTTGAAAGTTAGAGCAGTTGTTTTAGTGCACATTCTCTTGATTCTTCGAATTTTCGAGCTACTGTATTTTTAGACGTTTTCGCTTGCGAAAGAAGTTGATAACTTAAGGTGTTAAAAGAAATCGATAAATTCTCACAACAAAAGAACTTGAACCGCAAAGGTTTACGTTACTGAGGTTAAAATTAAAAAATTTAAATGCGTCACATAAAAACATCAATATTTCTCTCAAGTAGAGCTTTTTTACCTTATCAATTTTATAAGTTGTAATGGGTTATTATAAAATATCGTTGGTTAACTTGATGCGCCTAAATTTTTGGATGGTTGTTAAGTTATGCGAAGAAGTATTTCTCAAGCAAGCAAACTCATCATAAAGAAAAAAAGTTCGAAAATATTTGCAGACATAGCATAATTATAAGTATAATTATAATTATATAAGTAGATAATTTTTCTTTTATTATACAATTAAATTTATCTATTTACTATTATTATTCATATTTAACATTTCACACTCACACACACACACACACACACACACACACACACACACACACACACACACACATACACACGCACACACACACACATACACACACACACACACACACACACACACACACACACACACACACACGCACACAAACACTAACACAAACACTTTTATTGTTGAATTTTATATGGTTAATTAAGAATTCTTAGATCTTTAAAGTTCTATCTTAGAAATATTTTTTTAATAGTTTATAAAAAATGGAAACTGGTAGGATGAATTGCTTGGCTGTGGATGACGGCGATGCTAGTGAGCTTGCGTTTGATTGGTACGTACAGAACTATCATCGCAAAAATGATACTTTAATAATACTTCATATACACGAGGTTCCTCAATTACCCTTAATGGGAATATTGTCTGGAATCTATCCAGCTAATAAAGAGCATCATATTCAAATCGATAAAAGTGTTAAAGCTGCCCAAGCAGTTGTTGAAAAGTTCAAAAAACTTTGTAAAGAAAAAGAGATAGAGTTTAATGAGATTATTCTCGATGATAACTTTAAATCTCCGGGAAACATGATTTGCGAGTTAGCTAATAAAAAGTTGGCAGCTGTAATTGTTTTAGGACAAAGAGGTTTAGGAGCGATGTCAAGAATAGTTTTGGGCAGCACTAGTGATTACGTGATACATCATTCTAAAGTTCCTGTTATTGTTGTTCCGCCGAACACTGCTTCTAAGTAAGCACTTTAACACTTGCAACGCAAAAGGAGCTATACGGCTGATACCGGAGAATTAAGGGTTCGAACCTTTTCTTTAAATAAAATTTTTTGAACTTTTGAACTATCTTGAAAGTTGTCTAGAAAGAAATCTTTTATTGAAAGTATATCTAAGTATATTCTTTATCAATCTTTTAATAATTATAAATGCATTACTAATACATTAATTTAAAGTATTCGCTAAACAGTACTTTTTTATTTGTAAATCTTTATTTTTATTACTTTTTTTATATTATTATGTTTGTTTGCTTGTTTGTTAGTGGCGTACACTATTTTTACAAACAGTTATCTAAAATCAGTTATGTATATCTCAAATACTTTTTTTTTAATGTAAACTTCTTTTATATTATTTCCTTTTAACATTTTTGAAAGAACTTTAAATAAATATAATGGACCAATAAACTACTATAATTACTATTACACAGAATTTTACTTTAAAGTGCTAGACTAATATTTATTACGATATACATAGACTAATTAAATTTATTTTACTTTTTAATTTATTTATTTAGGTAAATATATATCACTAACTTTATTATCTATTTATAATATTTAACCAAGGTTTAATTTTTACATTTCAATTATTTGCGACTACAAAAAGTTAATTATTTGCGACTACGCCGATATAATTAATTTTATCTAAGTTAACTGTTAATTGGATTTAATAATGACGTAAAAACGTAATTTTATGAAAATTCATTAAATCAAATTAAAGCTTTATTATTCTGCTATAAGTAAATGTTTTTTACTTATGGCGCAATTTTTCTATTGTTTATAGTTTAAGCAATATCAGGTTTATTCTGATAAAATAATGGTTTTTATAAGTATAATTTAAACTTTATAAGTATAATTTAAACTCTAAGCTATTTTCACAAATAAAGAATATCATTAAGATATACAATTTAATATTAACGGTATAGTTATGTTTCGATAAATACAGATATATACTACACCGCTATAAACTAAATGATACTTGGAACAACTGTTTATATAACTTTTTATTTATTTTTTATTTAACATGAAAGTTGTTATCTCGAACTTTTTTCTATAGTCACTTAAGCATAAGAAAAGGTCGTCCATAAGTAACCGTGTTGAATGGAAAAAAACGATAATCCGTGTTTCTATTGTATCCTGTTTAAATCCTACAAAGTAGAATATCAAAACAATATGTTCGCGATGAATCGAACATGAAATATCGCTTGTTGAAAAATTATTCAATATTTATTACGAAAAATTTCCTTTAAGTTTTTTAATCATTTGAAATGTTTTGTAAAAAATATGTTTAACAAGGATAGGTAACGCATGTTATCAAAAATTTACTGACATTATTAATCAATAGTATAATGAACGATAATCAATAGTATAATGAACGATAATCAATAGTATAATAAACGATAATTAATAGCATAATGAACGGTAATCAATAGTATAACGATCGGATAAAATGAAAAAAGCGGATAACAACAACTAGCAGCACCTGAAAAAATCAAAAAAAAAAACGATACCATAAAAGCCCCCAATTTAATATTGTCGCTATTAAACAGCTTTAGTCGTGCACCGTCCTCATCAATATCTTTCCCCATTATCGAGTTACTGATATAGGAAACCTCAAAGGCCACTCTTGACCGCGTGTATTTTTTCTATTGTTTTTCACACTTGTTTATTTATTTTAACAGTAAGTGTTGTGGTATAACTAATTTACCAGTCAAGGAAGAAATTAGTTAAGAATTTTAGCATCACTCCTTTGTAGAGTTTTTCCAAAAATATATATAAATAAAAAAAACATTAGAGAATATAACAAACAACATTTCACGCAGCCTATAATCTATTTATAGCTTTTAGTTTAAAAACAAGTTTCATTTTTTTATTGAATCAAAGTTGATTTTGACTGTTTAAAGGTGAGCTGACGTTTGTTTTTTTTTATTTAATATTAAATATATTTTACTTTTGTAATATAATTATATTTGAGTTTTTAATTTAGACAATATTAAAAAGATAGTTACTTAGCAAAATTATTTGACAAGTTTTATAAAAATGGAAACTGGTAGAATTAATTGCTTGGCTGTTGATGCGAGCGAAACAAGCGAGTTAGCATTTAACTGGTACGCAAAGAATTACCATCGTAAAAAAGATACCTTGATTATACTTCACATACATGAAGTTCCTCAGTTGCCTATGATGGGCATTTTATCAGGAATTTATCCGACAACTGACGAGCACCGTAAAACAATAGAAGATAGTGTTAAGGCAGCAAAAGCAGTAGTTGAAAAGTTTAAAAATCTCTGTGTTGAAAGAGAGATCGAATTCAATGAGATTATTTTGGATGATAACTTTAAATCTCCAGGACATATGATTTGTGAATTGGTCAAGAAAAAAGCTGCAACAGTGGTAGTGTTAGGACAACGAGGCTTAGGAGCTGTTTCAAGAACATTTTTGGGAAGCACTAGTGACTATGTGCTGCATCATTCAAATGTACCCGTTATTGTAATTCCTCCAACCACCCCTTCTCAAGAACCTACATCGTATTATAAATAAACAAACTTTTATAATCCTTTACAGACTTGTTTGAAATAGTTTATTTTAACGTCTATATTTGTTTCTTTTTTATTCTTAAATATAGTTTCTTTTTATTCTTATAAACTATTGCAGTATTTTAAATGTACATATATATATATATATATATATATATATATATATATATATATATATATATATATATATATATATATATATATATATATATATATATATATATATATATATATATATATACACACATATATATAAAAAGGATTAATATATTAATATAAACAGTCTAATTTAAAAAACATTCCGAGCAGCGTAGAAAATATTACTCAATGTGTTGAGAAAAAAATCTGCGTCATTGCAATGACGCAGATTCTTGTAAAATGTCTTAAAGACGTAAAGTATTTCTTGTGGTAATGATGTAATTATTTTAAGTGAATTTTGCAGCTTAATGTCCCATTTAGAACTTTTAAAACGCGTCATAACAACGTTTTTGCATAAACGACATCTTTTGAATCAGTTTTTTTTTAATTATTACTACACATTAAAATGCCAAAAGTTTTAATAATACTTGATTATATACATTTATTAAAATGATATATAACTCAATTAAATGTAATCAAAATACTATTTATTTTGAAGCAAATATTTTATAAAAAACCGAAATAATGCTCTAATTCCACAATGAGCCAAAAAAATGTCAATTTGGCAAAAATACCAATAATACCAAATGACGCAATTGTTTTCAAAATATCACGCATGTTTAAATATAACGTGAAGATAGCAAATTTTTCAGCATTGTTTTGCGAATTTTTTAAAAACTGAAGCCATATACTTTATTAAGTTATTTTTGTTTTGGAAAAATAAAAAACAGATTTAATTTTTTTAAGCATTTTATTTCTTCTCGTAGCCTAACGTCTGAAAGTCTTTTTTGACGTTTTTTTGAAATTTAAATTTAGTTAACTTGTTTTCTTAGTAGCATAGTTTATATGAAGTGTAGGGTTTTTTACGTATTTGTATAAAGATTAAAAATAGTGAAAGGCGTATATTTACGTAGTGTTGATGTATAAATATCTTTTAATGAATATTCAAGTTGTCATAGGAAAAGAAAGAGGAAAATAATCACGTGAGCATGCGACGTTTAAACTTTTTATAGTGCTCACGTCATTTTTCTCGAGTAAAGCCAACCTATACAAAAACATTAGATCGCGGCAACAAAAGGGAAAGAGGAGTCAGTCTTAAAAGCTTTACACCCTCTATATATTTCTAAACGTAAAATTGGCCTTGAAATTGTTTAATTTTTTTTTATAGGTTTTTTCCCCTCCTCTCTTCCTCCCTATATAAATAACCAAGGCAGCGGTTTGAATATTCGTTAAAAGGCAGCGGTTTGAATATTCGTTAAAAGGTTTTTTAGAAAATACATGTATAAAAATATTCACGATAGTGTAAAACCATATTCGTATAGGAATATTCTTTAAACAAATAATATTCAATACACAAATATGTATTTGTTAAAAACATTTAAAAGATGAACATGCATTTTGGCTACACTAATCAGCGCTTTTAGCTAACAATTGTTACTAAAGGTTCATGAGTACAGAAATATTCACGGCCTTTCACAAATATTATCAACTATTAATTATTTAATTTTTAAAAAAATATATCGCATATAACATCATCTATAATTGAATTTTTGTTTACAACGGATAAATCAGTAAACAACCTGATTATATCCTAAATAAAAATTAGAATTAGGAGATTTTCTTTTTTTCGCTTTGGAAAATCGGATTATTTTTAATTTTATCTTGAATATAGATTATGTAACACCCCTGAAAAGTCATGATCTTTGAATAAACGTTTAAATTGTATGATAACATCAATGATACACTAGCAATGCACCCGTGTTTTAAGGTAATTTTTTCAATGGTGCACGCAGTTGGCAGACTTAAATTATTTGAAACTTTTTTAGAAGTTAAATTATTTGAAAAGTTTCTTTACAATTTGATTTTTTGTTCATCAGGTCAAAAAATGCTTCTTTAAAAAAATGATTAAAAGAAGCTGTTTTTTTGTTTCCTATGATACGAAACAAAAAAATATTGTAATGAATTTACTAGATATTTAACTGCATTTATTTTTTATTACATGCTATTTCTTAAGTCTATTCATATTCTATAAATAGACTTAATAAATGCTACAATCGTAAATTTTTATAAAAAGTCTTTCATACCTATGGGCTCTGGCCCATAAAAAAGCCTCCAAAAACAAAAATAGCCCCGGGCCCCAAAAAGTCTTAATCCGCCACTGCTAATTTCAAAAGTTGGCTAAAACAGATATGAGCCGTTTATTTGAAAGTGGCATAAGTTATCAATAACAATCATTGTTATCAATGACAATGATTGTTATTGATAACAATGATTACAATGTAATGGTATCTCTTCATTTGTGAAAATTTCACAATTATAATTTAATAATTTCAAATATAATTTTCAACACAATTGATTTAAATTATTTCACAAATGAAGAGATACCGTTACATTGTAATCATTGTTATCAATAACTTAATTTTTTTGGAAAGGTGACTTATATCACCTTCAAAATAAACAGCTTGAATATGCTTTTTTAGTATATTACAGGGTTATTCATTCTAATATGTATGTTTATTTATTCTTATATGCATTTTAAAAAAGCACAGTTTTTGAAAATCTAATTGCTTTTATTTCCTGGTAAACGATGTTGAAAATACTTTATACGATGACTTTTTACATTTGATGATGAATAAATTATTATATATAAGAATATATTATTATATAAGAAATAAATAATGCATTTAGTTGAAAGAAATCAATCTAGGGGGAGAGTGGGGAATGCGTATTAAAAACACCACTTATACAAAATTGATCATGTTTATTGCTTATCAATTAATTTAAATATTCAAACACAAACCGTCAAAAAAAATTTTATAAATCTTATAAAATAAAAATTTATAGTAAAAATAAAACCATTGGTGTTCGGAAATACCCTACGTACGTGGGGTAATTCCAAAAAACATCGGGAGGTAATCACAGACACTGTTGTGTAAAAATGAATAAAATACTAATTTTAAGTTTAAAAATTATATTATACAACAACAGCAAAAAAAGGAATGGCTTTATTTCCATAGAAGCTACAGCAGAATGTTACTCAAGAAAAAGGTTGCATAAAATTTTCAAAAAAAGTTAAAATCAAAATATAGTAAACAACATTCGCAGCTTCATTACACTACTGCACGTCTGGAACTGCGAATGGGATTCCTTCTCAGCAGGTAAAAAGAAGTTGTCAAATTTATTTTTCTACAATACTGTTTTGACCATGTTCGGAGTTACCTCCGCGTTCGCCATTACTCCGCTCTTCCCTACAACATGCATTTCCACTTTTCTTAATTTATTTTAGCGCACAGTTCAAAATCTTGTTTTTAAATTAAACAAAGGAGCATTCGATGACATGGCTGTATACAAGTCGTTTTCTGATAAAAAGCGAGGTAAAAGACCTATAAATGCTCAAATAAAAAATATTATTGAATTATGCATACAAAAAAACAATCTTGGTACGCAAAAAGCAATAAAAGAAAATCTTTCTGCAGCAGGTTTCAACATGTCTCAGCCTATAATTTCAAAAAAACATAAAAGCTCGGATTTATCAGGAAAGCGTTTCTGTGCATGTGCCAGAAGAACGAAACTTAAAACAAGTTAATGATGCGCTATGCATTTGTGAGCGAAACTAACGGAATTTCAAATAAAAAACTTATTTATTTAAATGAAATTGGATTTAATTTGCACACCAACAGCACATAATGTTATTCGCTAAAAGTTGCGCAGCAATTTTACAGTGGTCTGCAAATCGTGAGAGAATGTTAGTTTGATTTGTGCTGTTTCAAAAATGGGAGTGCTGGCTTATGAAACAAAAACTGGAGGCTAGAATGCAGATTTATTTTGTATTTTCATTACAATAATGTTGGCCCCAGCAAATAGGAATGCAGATACAGACGCGCTGGTGCTTAATATTGACAGTTGTAAATTCCGCTGGAGTCTTTCTGTTTGGCAAACGCTAGCCTCTCTTGGCATAGCTGTTAAGTAACTGCCAGCACACATGCCACAGCTTTATGCAATAGAATAATTTTTTTCTTCTACTGCATAGTAGAAGAAAAAAGTTCGTAAAGCATACTTACAAACAAGTAGAAAGGCTTCAAAATACGGATTTATTTAGGAAGCATAAAAATAATATGGATACTACAGAGTTTAATTTAATTCCATTTTACAACCATAAGCGTAGATATATAAATCCAGCGCTAGCTATTTTTTAAATAAATAGCAGTGGCCTCAACATATTTTATATTTTGAATATATTTATATAAAAACATAAGAGCCTATTTATTGTTTGTATAAAATTATCTTAGAGATTTTATAGGTTGTTGACTCGCATATGAACGCGCATATAATAATGAATAAATATGCATATAAGAATGAATAAATATGCATATGAAAATGAATAAATATGAACATAAATATGAATAGATACTCATATAAAAATGAATAGACACGCATATAAAAATGGTTAGACGCGTATATAAAAATAAATAAATAGTAGTCGAGTTTAAATAATGATAATAGCGTACGTTTTGGTGACGTCAATTTATTTGTTTGTCCGAATATCAATCCCACAATCACTTACGTTATAAAAAAATTCTATTGTATCTGTGCAATGCACAGTGAGAAAAATCACATGGCCGCATATTAAAAGACTTACGTCAAGCATTATGTCTGATAGTGGGTTTTGTTACTAAGTGCTTCACTAAGAATTTTCTTATTTATGAAATTCTAAATGTGATAGGCTCAATGGTAGTGGCTTTTTAAGGTTAGGTTTTTAAAGAATTTTTGAAAAAAATTCTCAAGTTGCAGGATTAAGAAATAATTATTTTTTTAATATATAGTATATACATTCCAATACTAGTATATCAATATACAATATAGTTATCGAATTTCTTTTGATTTTTTTATCAGGATAAAAAATCAAAAGAAATTGATATTA